GGACATCACGTGTCAGGCCAGGCACTCGAGTGGAATCCCCATGGAAAGCGACGAGTTGGACGTCGGCGCCGAGGGTGACATGGAGGAGATCGTGTGAGGAGGAAATGAGAGCTTCTGGGCTGTCGTGGAACCAGGTTCAAAAGATCTCAGAGAACAGAGGTTACTGGAGACGTGCTACTGAAGCCCTATGTTCCATTAGGAACCAAAGGGACTAATAATAATGTATATATATAAACTAGACACTATCCTGATGGATTCTGATTTCAACAGGCTCCTAAAATAGCTAAAATTTGTAAGTTAAGTTGTATAAGCACCTCCTATTTGCTTGTAATACAAAATTATGAGATTGAATAGCACAGAGATTTGCCAAGAGGAGAAAAGCTATGTTGTTATTATAGAAACGGTCTGATGTGAATGATTGAGTGATCAATTTATACACTTAAAGGATCATTGTATACAGTTCTTCACCGTTTCATAGCTTCTTTTTACATTTTCTTCAAACAAAGCATAATACCGCGGAAAAAAAAGAGAAACACACTCCAGGTTGCAATTTATCATGATCTGACATAATTTGGAGAAACACTGGAAACATAAGAGCATTGGACAACCCCTAACCCATGACCCTATCCCGTCCCATCAGGGACCGAACCCAAGATCCTCAAGTTCCATGACCAACACATTATCATTGAGTCACTAGGTTTGAATCTGATGGTCTATATTTCCTACTTCTGCTAGTTCACGACATAGCGCAACCTCTATCCATTCGGATGCACACACTGTTCACTTATGTTGTTGCTTGTATCTACTGGGATATGGGTGCCCGCATAGCTGCTTCAATATTGTCTGTTGTGAAATCAGAGATACGCGTTTCGTCCTATTTAGGACTCATCAGGTGAATGTATCTGTCAAGTGATCGGTCTCAGGTTAAAGTTTTACTGTGAGGCAAGTATATTTAGCCAACTTTTATATGCAGTTCTAGTATATTATATAAATGCATATCTAGATATAAAAGTTGATTATTATTATTATTATTGCTTTCCTATTGGTATATATCTAATTGATCAATGAGATAGATCATCGTCAATCTAATCAATAATTCAATCAATGATTGAATTAAAAAAGAAAGAAAGAAGAGTCTTTATTCAATAGATGTCATGGAGAAAATAAAATTGATAAGTCATGACCAATGGAGTTAACGAAGTAGAAACATGAAGACAGTTACTCAGTGATGAATTGACAGAAATAGAAAAATATGGACTATTGGATTCCGACCTAATGGCTAGCTCAATTGTAACATGCTAGCCTGAAAAACTCCCGTTTGATGCCTGGCTAGAAGAGGCAGGGTCATGCATGCATACTGCTGTGTAGTCCCATACTAGGATGAAACAGCTGTGCTCCCACCTTTCTTAATATTCCTCCAACTCATGTCAGTCCATGATGAATTCCAATTTAAAATCAATTAATAAATCTCTACAAACCTCCAGGTAGAATTAATCTAGTGCTCATTTGTGACTAGCTTCAAGATGTGATTTCTAAAGTCCCAATGAGAAGTTGTGACCAGTCGAGTCAACCAAGTCGAACATGAGAACAGTTAATCAACGATGATATTGGATATATGTCGCACTATATCGTGGAATGACAGAAGTAGGGAATGTGGACCATCGGATTCTGATCCACTGGCTGAATGGTGGTGGTGCTGGCCGTGGGTCCAACCCCTGGAAGGGTTATGGGTGTGCACTGCTGGGGATTCGCATATTAGTGGGACAAAATACCTGAGGTCCAGTGCTCCCAGGTCTCCAATGTTCCTCCAGATAGAAATAAATGAATACCTGAGATGCTTGTTAAATGATGAGATCATATTGAATTACTTGTCGATTCCTAATCATTAATCAAGAAACTGTTGTAAAGAAGTTGCGCAGGTGTGAGTTACCACTATTGAGTTGCTTGACCGGGCTTTTTTTCTCTTGACTCAAGTTAAAGGTGAATAGCAATCTCATGCTGTAGTAGTTTATTCTAGATAGAATATAAAACAGACTGACAGTTGAAAACGACTTTTGAGGTTTCCACCTGAACACCATAATTCAGAAATAGGGGTGTTATTCATTGATCCATAAGGTTACAGAAATCGATTTGAAGATATATACATTTTAGGGAAACTAGAAGTGCTGTTTCCCCATACCTTGACGTGCTGATATGAGGTGTCACAGCTTAAACGGTTACAGAGTAGTGCCAGACCATACACTGATTGACTCATTTCGCGACCCACAGTACTCTGTAGTATATCACTTACGTCAATGGCTTAAATGGGAATCAATATGTCAATTCTTCGACCGCTAAGTTAGAAGTTTTGGATTACAACATATGTTTCATGACACTATGTGGTGATGAAAAATCTTATTGGACAATTTTATCCGACAGTTGACCAATTAAAATAAACCATCCAACTCTTGACCTTGTAGCTTTGGACTGCTGTTTTACCCATGACCTTAAAATAACTTACATGGCTGTTTACATACCATCACTAGTTTTTCTTCTCTCCCCTCTCAAGACTGAACTTTTATTGGTTGTTAACTATATATGGATTTCGTGTTATCAAGGTCATTTAAAACGGTATATAAATATAGTATCGCTTTTTTTGATTGTTATCGAGACAGTAAAAAGCTGTCCATTAACAGTCCATCTTTTCTTCTTGTCTTTGCACATCGGTGATATTGCTGTAGTAGTGGTTGACGACCTGAGTTGTGTTAGAGTCGATTCGTTTGCACGTTAGGTTATTATTGTCCGTAGTCTGCTAAGCTGGTATCACTCGAGGACTATTAAGTCATACTACAAGTCATAGCATATTTTCGCAGTTTAGTTAAGTGTATAAGGTATTGAGAGAGAACAGTCGGTATTTGTAACCAGTCTAAGTGTCTCATTGAGTTTATATCGTTCGCAAACTAATTTTCATTCATTCAGTTTATTTCAGTCATTTACTCTTGTTAGGTTTACCATACTTTTTTGCTTTGCGAAGTAATCTCATAGGACAGTTAAAGCAAACATCGACTAAAGACTGTAACTAATCCAATACTGACCCCACCTAAGTGGAGAATATTAATATCAATCAGTCGATTACCGGATCCAAAACTTCCAAACTATGGAAGCTATAGTAGTTTGCGTCAAACAGTTTTTGAAGCACTCTCACCTTCCTAATCTCTCCAACAACACATACATATTTTATAAATATTCATCTACCCTCCCTCTCTCCCTCCCCTATTAAAAAGGCACATCAACTTATTCCGTTGGCTTACTTTTTCCTTGTTTTATATAATCTAGTCCTGCTAAATCCCCACTAAGACTTGTATACACATTTAGAATTTTGAGGAGGTAGTCATCACGAACTAACATCATTTACGGAACTGTTGAGAACGTGAAAGTACTCGACAATTGTTTCATCCTAATGTGGAACTCCTCAGCATTAGATACACACGACCTCGCCCTACCAGGGGTCGAACTCAGGACCTTTAAATTTCATAGCCAGTAGGTCGGAGTACAGTGGTTCTGAATTTCCTATTTTAGTTAGTTCGCAATATAGTACGACTATCATACAACGTCTTCAGATGACACTCATTTCCCTTTCGACTGGTTAATCCTATTTTCATGTTAATATCTGTTTAGCTACCTTCGTAAACTGGGTAATATCAGTAGTACTGAACAGTGCACACATATATCCATATGAGAACGTCTTATTATTATTATTTGTCCCTTGGGTTCCTAGTGTAACACACGGCTTCAGTAGCATGTCTCCATTCCACTCTCTTTTTTGAAGTCTTTTGAACCTGGTTCCACGACTGCCCACAAACTCTCATTTCTTCCTCACACCATCTCCTCCATGTCACCCTCACCTCGGAAGCCCAACTCGCCTTTTACCATCTGGATTTCACTCAAGTGCCTGGCCTGGTGCATGATGTCCCCAATCAACCTTCTCACTGTATGACCAATTGATCTCCACTTCCTTCCCCTGCATATTTGTTGAGCAATAGGCTCTTGGTTACTTGGATGCCAGCCAGCTGGAGTGAGTTCCTTGTTGCTTATTCTTATTATTCTGGCAATCCATCTGATCTTCCAGTAACGGGCCAGCATAGGTGGCAGTTGTTGATGAGTGTCTGTAGTTTATTGGAAATCCCTTTCGTAACACGCCAAGTCTCTCAACCATATAGAAGAGCTCTGACTTGACATTGGTGTTGAAAATTCGGATCTTATTCACGCTTTATGCTGAAAGTAGTGCAGTAGATCTCCACACTGGTTTCAGGTTACTGAACGCCTGTCTTGCTGCCTTTCCCATCCTGGCCGGCTTTGACGTCCTCGTCTGTGCCTGTGTCGCGTGTAGTTGAAACGGTGCTGCATAGACAAGTGAAGGAGGCTACTTCCTTCAAGTTTCTCTCGTTGATGGTGATTGGAGTTTGTTGTTGTTGCTGTTGTTGTTGGTGGTGGTGGCGTTGGTTAGCTATCACCATCACCAGTGTCTTCTCTACATTCACTTGAAGGGGGTCCCGTCTTCGCTGCCCTGCCCTGCCATGCCTCTTCTGTGAACTTGTTAGTTTTCGCCTGTACATCTTCAAGTTTGTGCTACAAGACATTAGACACAAGTCATCAGCGAAATCTAAATCTTCTACGTTCTTTTCCTCGACCCAGCTTATCCCCCACTTCTCGCTCCTCACTGTTTGCTGCATGATCCAATCCACTACAATCAGGAAGATCATGGGTGATAGTAGACAGCCTTTTCTTACTCCTGTCTTCACTTCAAAAGCATCACTGAGCTGCTTCCCATTGTGGATCACTTGGCATGTGGCATCTTCATACAGTTGTTGAATGAGGTTGATAAAAGTTTGTGGTATTCCATAATGTTGAAGCAACTGTCAATGAGGACGTCTTACCTACACTTTAACTGTTATTGACAGGCATTAACTATAGAACTTAGAAAGAAAGTTTTCATTGATAAATATCAGAATTAATCTTACCTGTAACACTTCTTTGAGTATTGAAAACCAATGAGTCAAGTGTAATGTACCAGTTGCATGCAACATTCCAATCAATGTATCTTCAATATCACGACGTAGTTGATAGTCCATTTCAACATTAAGTAAACTGAATAATTGTGATTCTAATTTTGTAGTAAAAGTAGACGTTGAAAAATGTCCATGACGACTATTATTATTATTATTATTATTATTATTATTATTATTATTTGCGTTATTTGATAATGTTGACAATGAGGTAAGAATAGGAGTAGTTGTTTCATCTGATTGTGTTACAAATCCATATAGATCCATAGTCTCTTTTTGGCTTAATTGTCTTAAACATGAGAGTGCTGCACGTCTTAGGACTAAATCAAAGCTGGTTAAATTTGCCTAGAATAAATAGGAAATCAGAAGATATACATGAAAGTAAAATGAAATCTGAGAACAACAAATTCATAATTGAATAAAAAAATAACACTAACGTTTAAATTCTAACGTGTCATTTCCAAAAGAAAATAATTCAAGGCAGTATTTATGGCAAACTGAAATCAATTGAAGAAACACTGAAAGCTTGGAAGCACTAAACAGCCCCCCGAACTTATCACCTTCGGATCTCGCAGGGAATATGTTAACTATTCAGTTACCCGATTGAAGTTCAACAGTTCATAGGTTATTGCTTTTTTCAAGTATCCACCAAGATTTCCAGGTGCCATCCGCTTCACTTCTGACTAATTGATCCCACTGGTTACAGTTTCTCATTACAACTTTGGGATATCCATCTGGGAGTATTCAATAGCTGTCATGTCATATAATGGGACTACAAGGCAGTCGGCAGTAGCTGAATAGTTAACGTGTTAGCTGAAAAACCTGAACATCATGAGTTCAAACGCTGAGAGGGTTGGGGGTGCATACTGCTGAGGATTTCCATACCACAACGAAACACCTATCCAGTGTTCCCAAAGTTCCAATGTTTCCCCAAACTGATGTCAGTCCATGATGAATACTATACCTACAATAAAATAAAACCATGATAAACCTCAGACCAGCCTAAGTGATTAGTGGTAAACGTTATGCTAAGGTTTCTGATTCCCAATGAATGGAAACACAGAACTTATTTGTAGTTATTTAGGTGCTGACAAGTTTGTCATTCGCCAAAGTTTACATTATCAAAGCATGCACAACAATGAAAACTGGGTTAGGTTGTTGGGTGGGAATGGCTGTGTATTTTATGAAGAGTTAATCGGACCTTGGTTTCATGCCTGTCAGCCCTCATCAACAGGAAATCTCTACAACTATGAAGAAGTTGATTTTTCCTAAGTCACAGACTGTACATCACGCAGCTATTCAAGTTATGTCGACTTATGAGTTGAAAGGCAAGTTCCTAGACTAAAGAGGCACAGTTCCTCAAGTGGTCACAGTCTAGTGTCTGAATCAAATACATGAGCCAGTCTGCCTTATGCCCTTTACACTGGTAAAAAAACTTGAAAAGATGAATGGTTGTACCAGGTTCTTTGTCGTGCCTATTCGCTTCGACAAATCAAAATCCACTTAGCTACTTTGAAAGCAATGAGTCATACCAACTGCATGAGCTCAACTAATGATACTGCTTAGCTGCCCAAAACTCAGTAGGTGGGGCAGTACTCGAACTTGCAGCCCACAAGTTGAAAGTCGACTGCCCAAATCAGCGAGACCCAACTCAACTAAGTTTGCAAGCTATGGAATGCTAGACAGCATAGGGAAGGTTTATTTCTCCTTCAAACACAACATCTTCACAAACCTCTGATCATTCATGCAATCTGCATAAGATGTTGAATCACTTGCAGAAAGTAATTACTATTATATTATAAGAACACTAACATGGTACATCAAGGGCATCAAGAAATGACCCACACAAAATAGTATAGTAACACTATGAAGACATAAAGCGAAGAGAAGTTGATAAGTAAGAAACAAAGACAATAAGAATAGAATGATTAGAGGGGAAGTTCAGTAAAACACATGCAAAATAAAACACTCATTACTTTTCAGCAGCACCAAAAGATAGAAGGAGGCTACAACATGACCACCATATCTGATAACGTCTCAAACAACTGAGTTGTGTGATCTCTGGGACCTCATCCAGGGAGTCGTGATGCACCAACTAATCCTAAGCTGATACAACTACCCTTCATTTCACAGTGCCATATCAAACACTGACCACCCCTCCACTTCTTCTATCCACTCCAAGATTCCAGGCTAGCAAATAATGAACGATGTGAAAGCCATTGAGATGACATGAGTAACACACATGCTTACCTATATGGCGTTGCGACCGGATACTTGCGAATTCCTACAGAGACAACGACAACCGAACACACAGAGTCATCTGTCATCCTCAAGTCGGAGAGGCCAGGTTTCACAGGTGTAGAGTAGAACTGCTCACATCGAAGCATTGTAAATCTGACGTTTTAAAGTCAGACTAACGTCACGACAACGCCAGAGGTGTCCCAGATTGACATATACCAGTCACACAACTACCCAGATACACGGACATATTTTCGACTACTTCCAACGGCTCATCAGGGAGGATGAGTGTAGACATAGCCTTTAGTTAATCTTACAGAAATACTTTGCACTTGAACAGTGTAAAGCACACATCATACTTACGGACACTTAACAGTTAACCGTCTATAACAATATCTGATGGACTGGGATGATTATTAAAGAAAATTTAACAAATTATACAAACACACAGACACATAAGTTTGCATGCTCCAGATAAGACTAGCCGAAAGCACACAGTACTGATGATCAAGGAAATAATTACACTAGCGAACAACTTCGTACATACAATTGAACCTTAAGTTTATATGTGATTGAAAATGTTTCCCATTCAATACAAATCAGTCAGTATAATCAGATTTATAATGAACAGAAATTTTACGGATTATAAATCTCTTGCTTTCAGATGAATTTCGCCTATGCGTAACCATTTATGAAGGGTCACAACTAAATTGATTGTGAGAATGAGTTGATAGAGAAGGAGGTTTTCAATCCAATGGACGAAAGGTATTATGCTAGCGGAGAGATTTGACAATTTTGGAATCGATCTTTTGTTTAGTTGCCAGTGAAAGCACTGAAGAGTCCCATTTTTAGGACGAAACACAGTTGTTTACTGCCACAAAGTTTTCAATGGTTATTCAATTCATGGCAATGTATAATGAATACTACGACAGGCCTTTACAATTTCAATGCCAACCGAATGTTCTATTATAGTGAGTAGCAGCAAATCACAAGCATAACACAAGTAAAATTGAACTTTATCAAAAACTGAGGTTGATTATCTTCGATTTTCTAAAACGCAAAGGGGTTCAAGAACTGCCACATTTGCCTGTTAGTCTCTCTCCGCTCCCTGATCAAATACGAATAGAGAAACATAGATTATCAACTACACGGGAAGATATATCCTTCTGTACAAACCACTATGTATGACAGTTCACTTAGTGACTAGAGAAATCCATAAGGATGTCAGAATTCCAGAAAGTTTGATACTCAAATCTATTGACAGGCCACCTTCGCATATTCATCAACTTGTGTACAACTCATTCAGTAGACAATGATTCTTAATCTAACGATACTTTACTAGCCACCTTGGTTATCCAAACCTCGGTAGGTGAAGTGGTCCTAGAACCAATAACCTACGACTCTATTCAACCATATATCAGATAAATGAGATACAATCATATAATCACAAATGATATTTTCAAAGTTTCTGACAGATTCACGATAAAAACAGAGGTTAGAAATATGGAGCATTGGAATCTGACCCAGTGGCTCAATGATAACGCGCTGGCCACGGAATCTGAAGGTCGCAAGTTCGACCCCTGGCAGGGTCGTGGGTGCGCACTGCTGAGGAGTCCCACACAAGGACGAAACAGCTGTCCAGTGCTCCCAGGTTTCCTTAGTTCTCTCAACTGACGTCAGTCTACAATGAATACCAACTTGAAAAATAGATAGAGTTTAAGCAAGGTTATTATTATTACCATCATAACTGACACTCATTTACACTCTATATCGGTAAATCAATGCGGAGAGAATTCGCTAACACTATTCACCACTTTACTGAAACTGTATACACATCCACATCATCCTTCTCAGTTTGTATTTATTAAAAAAAAATTACCGAATGACTGTCACCAATATCCTTTTTGTCTGATATTTACAATCAAGACGAATTTGAATTGGAGTACATACATATATACATACATACGTCAGGCAACAAAACACATACAACATCATACTGAATGATTAGCTATCATAATTTAGAAAGACAATGCCTAATACGAAGAGGATTGAACAAGGACATTAAATACTCCTTTTTTGGATTCATTTATATATCCTTCATATTTTAATTTTGATTATTTCCCTGAAGAAGCTCGAATCAGACTTCCATGCAAAATGTTAGAATTATTTGATTTCAAACACGTTGTGATTTACACAAATACAATTCTATATCTAATGTCAACCTTTTACTCAGCGCCAAATATTTGTCAAACTATACGATTCTATCTTGATCACAGCTTACATAAAAGGTTATAGTATTAAAGAAAAAAAAGAACAGGCAAAATTAACTCAAAACCCTAGATAATAGAAATATATTCAGTTCAATTTGTGGCAATTGATTAGGTTAGATTAATTTCAGTTGCGTGAAGACTCTATTCAAAAGAGCAAGAACATACTACAGCACAACAACTTCACGGAGAAACGAAGAAAATTACTTGATGTCTATCCTAAAGAAGGGTGGCTACCCACGAAACTCTATCAGAAGATGCCTACCCCATGCATCACCAACTACAAAATCATCGACAGAAATCAACAAATGCATCATCCTACCATACACAAGGAATATATTAGAGATCATGACAAGACTATGGAGACCACTTGGGATTGGTGTGGCTGGCTCATGAACCAACAAATCCCCTCCAAACACTATTATGCAGACCAAAGGATGCGATAAGCAAAGAAGACAAACAGAATATCATTTACAAAATCAACTGCAATAATTGTAGTCAACACTACACTAGCCAAAGTGGTCGCCCTCTTCGCCTTCGTTTACTCATTCACTCGTTCACTCATTTCAATGCATGTGGATAACAACGATGGACATGAATTTTATCTTGGAGATTGAATATACAAAAAATATCAGAGAATTCCTAGAAGCTTGGCATTCATGTCAATTAGTCAGCAATCAATAGAAGTGTAGACATAGACACAATCTATCAACCAATGAGAAAAATGATAAACAATGAGAAGGTCAGAAGTGAAGCAGAGGAGTAGCCAATAGGAAAGTCTATATCAATGACACAACAGTCGAAGGAAACAACCAATCACAGACCACTTCGTCAAGGCAGCTCACTTCATACTGAAGTTAGTGCTGATGATGTTTGGAAAGATGATGAAAGCTCCATGATTTAACAACCCAGCTGAGAGAACACAATACAACCAAGACCATCCACCTGAGCTACAAATATTCTCCATTATTAGATTAATTTCTACTAGATTTCAGCATATCTCGATTACTGAAATCCAATCATAAGTGTTACACTTATTGCAATGATTACAATTCAGAAAGAGGAATGATAGAATATTCTCTCTTGAGAAAAAAAAATCCCGCATAAATATGACAATTCGTCATGAGAGAAAAAAAACAACGAGGACAACCAAGAGTGAAAACAAAACTAATTGAGAAAGTGAAAGATAATCCTAATAAAAAAAAGCAGTATCATTAGGAGGGTAAAATAAAATAAACCAAGAGATTTTACGCTTCATATGGGCTGTTTGAAGTCTCCATTTCTTATCCACCCCCCGACACAAACACAAATACATACAATATATGATGTAGATTCTATTCTATTGTTTTAAATGTATATACTTTATGTATTTACTTATTAAGGGGCGTAACATGAAAGCTGTATCGATTTGGCTTAGAATATGGCTGTATCTTACATCTAGGTGGAAATAAAGGTAGACACGTTCTATGTGAGGACATGATCAATAAAATAGGAGTTAACTATTACTACTTTTATAGTGTGAGAAAGAAAAATAAAACATTCCACCACATACAGTTTCAGATAAAGCATTTATTATTATTATTATTATTAGTCCCTTGGGTTCCTAGTGGAACATAGGGCTTCAGTAGCACGCCTCCAGTGACCTCTGTTCTCTGAGATCTTTTGAACCTGGTCCCACGACAGCCCACAACCTCTCATTTCCTCCTCACACGACCTCCTCCATGTCACCCTAGGACGTCCAACTCGTCGCTTCCCATGGGGTTCCACTCGAGGGGCCTGACGCGTGATGTCCTCAGTCGGCCTTCTCAGTGCATGGCCAATCCATCTCCACTTCTTCCTGCATATTTGTTGACTGATAGGTTCTTGGTTGGTTCGTTCCCAGAGTTCCTTGTTGCTTATTTTTTCTGGCCATCTGATCTTCAGCAGCGAGCGTAAGCAGTTGTTGATAATGTCTGTAGTTTATTGGAAATGCCTTTCGTGACGCGCCAAGTCTCTGAGCCATACAAGAGCACTGACTTGACGTTGGTGTTGAAAATTCGTATCTTGTTTCGCATGCTGAGTGCAGAAGATCTCCACACTGGTTTCAGGCTAATGAAGGCCTGTCTTGCTTTTCCGATTCTGACTTTGACGTCCTCGTTCGTCCCGCCTGTAGTTGAAACAGTGCTTCCTAGATAAGTGAAGGAGGTTACTTCCTTCAAGTTTCTCCCGTTGACGGTGATTGGAGTTTGTTGTTGTTGTTGTTGATGGTGGTGGTGCGGTATCTTCATCACTTCTGTCTTCTCTATATTCACCTGAAGTCCCACCTTCGCTGCCTCTTCTACCAACTTGTTAGTTTTTGCCTGTAGATCTTCAAGTTTATGTGACATTAGGCATAAGTCATCGGCGAAATCCAAGTCTTCTAGGTTCTTTTCCGCAGTCCAGCATATCCCCCTCTTCTCACAGCTCCCCACTGTTTGCTGCATGATACAGTCCACCACAATCAGGAATATCATGGGGGATAGTAGGCAGCCTTGTTTCACTCCTGTCTTCACTTCAAAGGCATCACTGAGCTTCCCATTGTGGATTACTTGGCATGTAGCATCTTCATATAGTTGTTGAATGAGGCGGATAAAGGTTTGCGGTACTCCGTAGTATTGAAGCAGTTTCCAAATTACTTCTCGGTCGACGCTGTCAAAGGCCTTCTCAAAGTCGATGAAGTTGAGGTAGAGAGCTGATTGCCATTCTATGCTCTGTTCTATGATGATACGAAGCGTTGCAATTTGGTCTGCACATGATTTGTACTTCCTGAAGCCTGCCTGTTCCGGTCGCAGTTTTGAATCCAGTGCGTCTTTAAGCCTCTCTAGGATGATGCGGCTTAATATTTTACTTGGGGTGGAGAGGAGAGTGATTCCGCGCCAGTTCTTGCAAGCACTGAGGTCTCCTTTCTTCGGCAGTTTGACAAGGTAACCCTTCTTCCAATCGCCAGGTACCTTTCCTTCCTTCCACACCTTCTGCAATAGTGGTGTGAGATAAAGCATTAACTATCATTAATGAATTTTGTAGTTCATTTCAACATACTATTGATAATCGGACGGATATCATTTGCAGAAGCATTAGAGACCTACGAGCATTGGACAGATGTTTCGTCCTGGTATGAGACTTCCTCAGCAGTACGCACCCATGAGCCGGCTAAGAGTCAGACTTACGACTTTCAGATTCCACAGCGAACGTATATAGTTATTCAGTCGCCGGATCACGAGGTCGACGCTCTACAGTCTCCTACTTCACAGACATGAAAACTCGTAAGGAGATGATTTCATTTCGCTAATTTCATCATCAATGAAACCTTTTATAGTCTAAGATTTATATTCTGTGACCACAAATGGGCAGTAGAGATTCAATGACGTTACGCAACTATCTCTAGGCTGTCCAGGAATATACATTTAACTCATGACAATCGGCCTTAGAGTTTCAAATCAACCAAAGAGATGAATAAAACCGATGCCTAGTTTTCCAAAAACTATCATTGCCTCTGTTCTGACCCACAAAATTATTGCTATCATCGACATATAACTTGGTTATTCAACAGACAGACAGAAAAAATCAACGTAGAACCTCGCACACACTTCACACTAGTATACGAAGAATTGGATAAGAAGGGCTGATATTATAATACGTGAAGATGCATGAACGACTGGGAACTTCGAAAAATAAGATGCGTAAGTATGATATGTGCTTTGCACTATTCAAGTGCAAAGTATTTCTGCAAGATTAACTGGAGCCTGTGTCTCCCCTCACTTTCCCTGGTGAGCAACTGGAAGTAGTCGAAAATATGTCCGTGTATCTGGGTAGTTGTGTGATTGATGAAATTCCACACCACATATCGAAAGTCAAAGTGGTATACGTCAATCTGGTACACCTTTGGTGCAGTCGCGACGTTAGTCTGACTGTAAAACGTCAGATTTACAATGCTTCGATGCGAGCAGTTCTACTCTACACCTGTGAAGAAACCTGACCTCTCCGAGTTGAAGATGTCCGATGACTGTGTGTTCGGTTGTCGTTGTCTCTGTAGGAATTCGCACGTATCCGGTAGCAGTACCATGCAGGTAATTGTGGCACGACAGCATGTGTTTAAGCATGATGGAGATGATCTTTCAATAAGTGAAGTTATTAGGAAACACCGGCTTCAGTGGCTTGGACATGTGTTACCCATATCGTCACAACGACTTCCACTCCGCCCATTGTTTGCTGGCCCTGGGACTGAATGAGATAAGCGTACGGGCGGTGCTGTGGGATGAAGGATAATTGTATTGCGTTAACATCTGTTGGTGCATAACGAGAGATTATGCAACCCAGTGGGGCTTGAGATGTTATCAGATATGGCTGAGAATCGAAAACAGTGGCGGTAATGCTGTAGCTTCATTGTATCTTCTGGTGCTGCTGAAAAGTAATGAGTGTTTTATTTAGTATGTATTTTACTGGATTTCCCTTCTAATCATGCTAATTTTTATTGTTTTTATTTCTTACTTATCTACTTCCTTTCGCTTAATGTTTTCACAATGTTATTATATTATTTTGTGTGGCTCATTTCTTAATGCCCTTGATGTACCATGTTTGTATTCTAATAATACACAAAATATTTAGTCTTTAGAAAAAGTCAAAGAGTGAATACATCTGCGTCATTGTCACAAGCTTTCAGTCATATCCTCAACAGTCCTTAATCACTGATTCTTGTCGTCTCGGGGACCCAAGGCATGCAGTCTACACCTGCGCACACAGCTGAGATCAACAATCAAGGGATTCATCGACTGGTGTCTTTCTCTCTCCCACTTAATCTAACATCGAAGTAGGCAGTGGTTCGGCATACGCAGCATATGCCCAAGCCATCTCAACCGATGAAAGTACACAACTTCATTGATCGACTTGCCTAATACCCTTCCTCTGACCTCAGCGTTGCTCACAAGGTGATTTCACAAAACTTGGGCAATGCTATGAAGATACCTACGATACAAACTCTGTAATCTTTTCATGTTTTCTACTTTCAACGGCCATGTGCAGTATACTATTTATTACATGGATTGTCGGACATTTCTCCGGCGTCACAGATTACGCAAGATCACCAATGAAAAACGGACCTTCTGTATCTCAGCTAAGACTTCGTCAGCACCCAGTCTGTTTGGGTTGATACAATTCCCCAAGTAAGTGAAGTGGTCGATACATTCCACCATTTACCTTCCAACTCATTAAACTGGGAGCAGTTGTATACTAGTCATGAAGCATCATCTTATATTTCATAGGTATCAGCGAGATGCATATCAAACATACTCAGCTTCTTGATCAAGGCGTCCAGAAGACCCTAGATTTTGTCAGCATCTTCACCTAGCACGACGATATTGTCTGGTATAGTCCAAGCCAACTACATGGGTGACCTACAGGGAGTAGGTCAATCTCTGTGAAGTTAGACCTACATAAGGTGATATACTATTAGTGCAGCTTCCTAAACCCCACTAGGTGAAGCTTGACTTCAACCTGAGACCGATTGGTCAAGAATCAACCCCATCATACACAATGGCAATGCTCGAAGTAAGATTTCTTTTGATAACACAATACAAATCTTTTCCACATAATAAAAGTCTGTCTCTAATTAAGCTTCATAAAAAAGAATATTAAAGACAACAATATGCTAATGAAATGCCTTTTGAAATAAGAGACAAATAAAAACCACGTAGAACCTTTGCTGAAGTAGGCCAAGGTGTGAGTTTTTACACTTGATAGTAATATACAAAAAATTCTAACATTATATAACTAACCTGTAATTCAGGGACTAGACCAGCTAATTTAACATGCATTGGAGCAAACATATGCAGTTGTTGTAAACAGGCTATCCCTTCAGCTTGTAGTAATGAATCCGATGAATCACGCATAATCATACAACATAGTAAGCATGAATGTCGAATAGATGCTATAGAGGTACTTGTACCTATATGGGATAAAAAATGAGAAAGAGAAAAAATAGGGTCAACCAGTTAAGGTGAAGAAATATATGAAAAAGCAATAAACGTCACGATATCAGTGAATAGTAAGGAATCCAAGATGCGGTGTTTTGTCCTTCTTAAGAAATTACAAGTATCTCATTACAATAAAACAATTGATACCCGTTGTGCACAAGAGGTGGCTACCATGCTTCAGTAGCTTACTAGAGTGATGGGTACTCGATTTGAACCTAACTGAGGTCGAGATACATCCAGGTGACGAATCCTGTATGGGATGAAACATGCGTCCCAAAATTCTCTGCTAGTCACCAAGAGCAATATAACATCATGGATATCCAGCAGTATAAACGGATTCGCATAAGAGCTCATCTGCCAACAGAAGTCAAGCAATTCGGGCCAATGTAAAATTACAAATACCATAACAACGCGTTTCCACTTATGACTTAATTATTGACATTATTGTATAGCTCGGTGCAAGAAGTCTCGATTAACCCCTCATTCATTTATGTACGACCTATGGTTTAAAGATAACTGGATTATAAATTATGCTGAACTGTGGGTCAGATAATTTAGCTGTATATGCAGCAGCAGATGAATCAGATCACCTGAAATATATACATCGAATAAGCAATAGACGTGGTGTTCTGTTGTAAGCGAGTTGAAGGGGGTAGGATCTAACGTCTTAACTCATTGTGTAGGTGGAGTGGTTATACGAGAGTAATCACGTGCAAGGTCAAAGTTAAAACTGAAACATCATCAGCAGGTGACTGTAAGGCCCACCCTGGAAAATGGTGTAATAACCAATCATGTTCCGTTATTTCGGGTAGATAAAGGTAGTTTTTCATAAAATATAAAAGCTTAATTGGTTATCTCAGTAGTTGCTAGGGTGGCCTTTAAAGTCGCCCCACTTAACTTACTGGCTAAGTTGAAACCTTGGTTGACAGACTTTCATTAATATTGAATACTCAAGAATGACAAATGTATATATTACCGCCTAATGCCTAATTGAAAAGCTCAGCAGACGGCTTTGAAGTAAAGACAGTAGTAAGACAAGGCTGGATACTATCACCGATGATCTTCCTGATTGTGATGGACTGGAACATGCAGCAAACAGTGAGGAGCAAGAAGATTGGCATACGCTGGACCGATGAGAAGACCCTAAAGATTTGGATTTCGCCAATGATGATTTATGTCTAATGTTTTATCACACAAACTAGAAGACCTACAGACGAAAACTATCAAGTTGACAGAAGAGGCGAGGCAGCGAAGACGGGACCTCCTTCAAGTGAATGTAGAGAAGGCACAGGTGACGATGATACCCAACCAACAACAGAATCAAAAACAAGCATTAAACATCATCAACCGGAGAAATCTAAAGAAGGGGTTGTCTTTTTCACCTACCTAGGCAGCATCGTTTTAACTGCAGGCGGCACAGGCACAGATGAGGATGTCAATACCAGGATCGGAAAGACAGCAAGGCACACTTTCACTAATGTGAAATCAGTGTGGATCTACTGCATTACACTCAGCACAAAGCCTGAACAACATCCAGATTTTAAACACAAATTCAGTCAAGTCAGTGCTTCTATATGGTTCAGAGACCTGGCGCGTTACGAAAGGCATTTCCAACAAACTACAGACATTCACCAACAACTGCCACCTACACTCACTCCTTACTGAAGATCAGATGGATTGCCAGAATAATAAGAATAAGCAACAAGGAACTCACTCCTGCTGGCTGGCAACGAACCAACCAACAGTCTATCACCCAACAAATATGCAGGGGAAGGAAGTGGAGATGGATTGGGCACGCACTGAGAAGGTGGATTGGGGACATCACGCGCCAGGTCCTCAAGTGGAATCCAAAGGGGAAACTACGAGTTGGGCGTCCCAGCTGAGGGTGATATGGAGGTGATCGTGCGAGGAAGAAATGAAAGCTTCTGGGCAGTCGTGGGGCGAGGTTCAAAATACTGCAGAAAAGAGAGTGGAATGGAGACGTGCTACTGAAGCCCTATGTTCTACTAGGAACCCAAGGGAAAAACAATAATCATAATAGTGGCTAATTAGCAAGCGACGAACTAAGTAATTTAGTGGTAGAGTTCCTGTTCTCGGTGTTTTGAATCTTTCAAAGAGCATGAGTTTTCTTTGAAGACTGTAAATATACACACCCTGCTGATAAGTACTAATTAACTGACGTCCTAAATTCCAAACAAGTGTCAAGTACTGAATCTCAGACTAATATACAAGCAGACAAGTAAAACTCATATACAACAGGATATATTTACGTATTAGTTCCTACTACCACATTTCACATAATCAAGGTTGACATAGAATCAATAGGGCAGTAGGAGAAACTATGAAATTAGCAACAGTGATACAAAGTTATGGCAATGAAATTATCAAGTCGAGATATGTTTCACGATCACCCTATTATCTTATTGTAAAGATTTGAATGTAACTAGGAAACACATTTTATCACACCATGCAGAATCTGTCCTCCCTTCTCCCTCCCCCAACGTGCCATTCTCAGAGACGATCTATTTCCTGAATAAATATCTAAATGACAGTAACTTGAATATAGGAATAGTTACTTCCTCCCTTAAAGAAATGATGTTTGGATATACCTTCAGGACTGAATTTTCCGATGACGACATCGTCTATCATCATCGTTATGTGTTCTCCTCTTGGCTCGCTGTTGGTAGATCTCCAGGTTGGAGAACAGCAGCAGTCTAGAGCTAATAATTGACAAGTCTTTTGATGTACAAACGGTGTGTTGGCGATATCTTTATAATTTTCTATCGTGGATTAGATTTGAATTATGTTTTAAGGGTATTTAAGAGTTACCAATAGTGAATTAAATTCGCACTTGAACTAGAAAGGGAATCAATGTAAAACTGATCAGATGAAATGATGGAATACTGAAGAGGTTGATCGACGGGAAAGGTGAATGAAATAGTCAGTTCATGAAGTTCTACAGTAGGGTGTCTGTAAGTCGACAAAGAACATCAGCTTAATATATCAACAAGAGAAAGACAACCCATCTGCCGTTCTTTGATATACTCCTGAGTTTTTGAAAAGATGGTTTAATGGACTGGTCGATTTACAGGAAATCTATTTCGACAGGGTAGTACTTAAGCTTCGATAGCTTTTATTCAACTCAATACAAGTGAGGTTTGGTAGCCTGCCTATTTAAAAGGATCCAGCGTATTTATATGGAAGATTCAATGGATGATGATATCAAAATACTAACTAAAACATTAATGGAAAATGAATATCTACTGAAGTTCATAAACCGTTGCAAAAATCAGACAGTATCGAAACCTAGTCTGTGCTCTATTTCGAAGATAATACGTTTACATCACGTTACCATGCAGAGGAGAATCTAATAGCATAATATAAAAACGAAGGTTAAGGTCTACTGTTAGCAAAACATACAATACAGCTAAGCTTATCTTAGTTGAGAAGACCAAACACCTGCTGCAACGCTGTATAAACGATTGCGTCACATCCCACGGCGTCTATACATTTACATGTGTGTGTGGACAAATATACATAAGGTGTTAAAAAGTGGCTATCACCATCCAAGGTCATTGGTCGAAATATTTTCGTCCCAGATCTTGATTGGTCAAATTAAATTTATTGAACACTTTTGTCCTTCAGCTGATTGGTGATTTAGTGGCTTCATTTTCTGAGTAGAAGCTATATATAAATACTGTTTTTTGCCAACTAAAGTCATCTTCCTTAAGTCAGTCACAGGTTCATCTTTTGTCTTCAAATTTTCGTGGCTCAGTGAAGTATTAGGTGTAGCGGAGAACAACCGCATTACTCGCATCCAATCCAGGTATCTCGTTGCGTTATCACTCTTTTCGATTATTATTGGAACCCACGTCGTACTCCGATCCAGTCACATCAGGATTAATCGTGATATGCACTTGAGGGTAGGGGAACGCGTACCAAAATGGCTAACAAAAGCAGCTGAATTCACAAACAGGTGGTAGACAACCATCATCCTCATCCATTGCAAAACCCATCTCATTGATAAAGCTCACAGGAATGATATTAAAACAGCCTTTAAAATTTTGTATAGAAACTGTCAGAGATGTATACTTAGGTTTGTTAGAGCGCAAGTCATAAACAAATTTAACCATCCCCACCTATTGTGTGTGCAAAGACACTTTGTCCTGATAATCTGCGTCTTCTAGTCACGTGATCTAAATTAATAAAATGGACTAATTGTCTAAACTTCTTTGTGTTCACTCACCTTGTTCACAATGACGTAATTTTTAATCGTTTCAATATTCACATTTTCTTTATTATTATTATTATTATTATTATTATTATTATTACTATTATTTTAACTCACTCATATTGTCACCATTATAATCTATACTGGGTGATGAGCTCAGTATGATAGGTAGCTCAGCTAGTAAACCATCACAGGCCGGAAATCCAGTGATCGCTAGTTCGAATCCGGCCGCAGTTTAAATTTTCATTTCACCTTCAATCATTATCGAGTATAAATACTAGTCTACCAAATTATGTCTATCTCAGATAGTAAGTCAAAATGATGATTATCATCACTCACTCATATTATCACCATTTTTTTGTTTACCTAACACCTATGTTCTCTTAGTGTCCACCTTTAACAAGCTATCTAGTTGACTATAAATTGTTCTGTTCAAAATGATGTATTCCCATTCCTAGTGGTTTCATTTTTCACTGTCAATTCACTACCCCTCCCCCTTCCAACCTAATCTTAGTTCTCTGGTGTAGGTGTTGCGTCATTCCTATTACATGTGTTGGGTGTGGATTCGATGAACAAAGATTCAGTAATTAATCTCTCTCTCCACCTAGCTATATTAGACTTAAGTACAGTGGTTTTGTCCCATCCTATTGTGTGGTTGTGTGTTAATGAATGTAATGCAATGGCTGAGTGTTTTTCTAGGTTATTGATCTTATTGGGGTCTGCCGTTCTATGTTTAGCTAA